CCGCGGTCGTTTGCTCTACCGCTGAATCGATTCCACTCGTTATTACGTCGAACGTCGCGAGATACGTGCAATTTCTTTCCTCGTATTCAATTGAAACGCATTAATTATAATGAAAAGAATGATGGAATATTATGCGAGAGATGATGGTTTTTTTATTTTTTATTTTATGTCCCTACACCTACTCCGACCCGATCATCTGTTGGAGCAACATCACCGCAGTTGTTGGGTGTAATTCACGGATCCCTTTACTTGTTCCTCATCGTTCCATACTATTCTAAAAATTATTATTTTTGTATTAATCGACAATCAAGTTCAGCGAAATACACTGTACTTATGTTTGGTTAAGTTTCGATAGAATTTAAAAATAGGTTATTTGGCAATTCGAACCGCAAATATATGTACAAATAATTTTTCTGTGCAATTTTTTTTTTATCAAAATTATTATTATTTATTACTCAAAATTATATAATAAATCAAATATATGTAGTAGGTTTAAATCAATTCAATAAATTTTGAACAATATGTTAAAAATTATGATTTTATTAACATTGTTTATAATATTATGAATATATAAAAACAACAATCATTGCATTTTTCATTTATTTTCTTTTTCAGATTTTTTTTATATATTTGTGAGAGTATGGGTGTGCAGTAGCATGGCTAGAAAACTTTGTTGGGAGGAGGGGGTTTAAATTCTTTCTCCTAATTAAGAACCAACTTTTAATTTTATTAAGTCCATTAAACGTAAATTAAAATATAAAATTTGTTATCATTTAATGTTTTGAAACTGTAAAAATTATTTGATGATCACATGATATAACATTATACATATGTTTAAAATTATTGTATGTCTTACAAAATAAGAGAGACATTTTGGAGGGAGGTTACAACCAGTGTTACTTTAACCGTTAATTTTTGGTTCAATTCCATGATTTGTTTTTGAATTTTATTTGTGATAAACATTGAATCAATCTATGTTCAACAAACGGTTTTCGATTGTAACGTTATAAACTAAATGGTTCACCGAACATTTTACTAGAAAAAAATTAAAATTATTTATGTTTTTTGAAATGTTCGCCAAAAAAACGTAAAAAAATTTAAAGTTCTTGAATGATTTACCTAATAAACGTTGTTAAGTTATTCGTTCATGTAAATTTAATTAGAAGAACGTTTTGAAATATTACGTACTTGAAAATTTAATCAAAAGAACTTATCGATTTAATACGTTCTTGAACATTTTATCAGAAGAACTTATCGATTTAATACGTTCTTGAACATTTAATCAGAAGAACGTTTTGAAATAATATGTTCTTGAACATTTTATCAGAAGAATGTTTTACAGTCATATATACTCGAATGCTTTAAAGTTATACGTTCTTGAATAACGTTTCTATTTCTTGAACGTGTATGAGTAGCTAGGATTTAACACTAAAACTCGTTAGGTCACCCATCCGGGAACCAGCCAGAAGTGACTTATCACTATCATAATATAAGATATTAATTAATATATATATTAAACTACAATGGAATTTCAAAAGTTAAAATATTTAATAGTTTTTACAATAGAGTAGGCGATAAAAATGGATATCATATGTCTATAGTCTACAATCAGTAAATTCATTTACATTAAAACTTGATTTATATTTTATGATTCGTACTTCCTTACGTTTTATAGTCTACCTAACATGACACTGTTTTAATAAAATCGTTTGTGTGATTCAATTATTAAGTATTTTCATTAATTTATGTATATTATTTAATATTATTAATATTATTATTATTAATAAATATATTATATTAATTAAATAATCAACTATAATAACTATGCCAAAAATTATGAATTGGACAATCCAGTGAGATGGTACTTCAAATATCACACAGAAGGTGAACATTTTAACAAATCTACATGACAAATTCAAAATTGCAATAAAATATTAGCAGTAAGTTTAAATTAAATAACATATTAATAGGTCTTATATATTATTATATATAAAAATGGTTAGTAAGCTAACTCGATTTAATTTAATTATTTAAATTCGAGGATGTAAGTGTTTTAAAAACAATGGATAATAAATTGATGGAAAACAATAGTTTTTGACAAACAAAATTTTATTACATATACCGATTACCGGGACTAAGTCATTACGAATCTACAGATTGTATCTTATGACATTTTACGGGGGTTTTTAACGATTATGGATCGATGATAAGGAATTTTTAAAAAATGAAAAAAAAAGTATTTCTTTATTTTGTATTCTGGCCTTTTTCAGAAACTAAGTAACATTCGATATAATCGATCTATATTCATTAAAAAAAACCCCACATATAGTTGACCAGTGGTGGCCCGTGCTATGGAGCACAGGAGCACGTGCACCACCTATATTTTGTAAGAATATGAAATATTGCTCTACAGCAATAATTGTACTCGTATTATATATTTATAAAAGGGATTAATATTTATTGACAAAAATAACAATTATTTTGTTGACTAATTAGTTACTCATTTAATATTATAGAGTACTATAATAATAGGTGATAACTGATAAGTGATAGGTCGTAGGTATTGTGGGCAGGGGCGGATTGGCCTATTGGGAAATCGGGAATCATCCCGATGGATCAGTCCTTGTTTGGGCCGCTCTATATTATTATATAATTACCAAAAAAAAGTTTTATTTTGTAAAATAAATAAAAATCATTAAAAAAATAAATATATATTTAAAGATGCATTAACATCAAACTTCAAGTTCAAGTTGAAACTGATTAATCATGTGACTTACCCAAAACTATTATAGCTATAACTATAGTAAAGTTATTGTAGATTTTACTAATTTAGAGGTGAAACTAAACAAATTTTGAAATGGATGCAAAATAAAGCATTTTTTTAGGAGGGGAAAGAGGTAAAATAGTTTAATTTGATGTTCATGGGCTGGTTTGTTTCATATTTCCTGGGCCGAAAATAATTGCCAATCCGCCCCTGGTTGTGGACTATGATATAGCTGTACGAGTTAGACCTTCCTATCGTAGACTCTTGTAATGCTTGTAACTATGTATATAGAACTATTTTTATATCAACAAAGTTAATCTAGTATTTCTATGGACATTGTGCACTATACCTTATTATAGGTACATTATTATTTACTGTTGTACACCCTTATTAGTATTTATTATCAGTTCCAAACTATTGTAGTCCGCAGATGACAGTCCACGTTTATAATTTTTATACTTATTATTGTCTATGTTATTAATTAAAAAGCTTATGATCAAAAATATTCCTAATTTTAATGAAAAGGTTATTGATATATTTGCTAAAAAAGAAAGAAGAATAGAATTAGTTTATAAAAATCTTACTAATATAATAATTATGATCTATTTTTCATTACATAATATGAATACATATAAATATATTAATTAAGTTCAGTTTTTCTAATGTACCTAATTTATTATTAATTATTACTAAAGTATTAAATATAAATGTTATAAATGTGCACCACCAAGTATTTTACTCACGAGCCGCCACTGTATTTGACATGAGATACACTCTGTGGCCTGTATCATTTAAATTGTAAAATATAAGCTCTAAGTATATAACATTATAACCAAGCAATTATCAACATATTTAATACTTTAAGGGTAATCATTTGGGTAATTTGAAGTGTCACTTAAAGTTCTTTCATGCGTTAGAATATCAACAAATATTATTGGAGGAAGATGAAACTAGTACTGATACTAATAATATCGTCTCTATGTCATCAACTTCTTCAAATTCACCTGATTTATTTCCACCAACAAAAAAAAGAGTAAAATACTAAGTTATCATTATTTTTAAATTATGCTTACATACTTTTATATGTATTATATCTTATTTTAGTTAAATATTAACAAAATGGTTTTGTCATTTGTAGATGCACAGTGCGGAGAAAACAATGAACGTGTCAATAAAACGCCGGACAGTGATTGACGGCTGTATCAAAATGGTCACAATTAATGGTAGACCCTTAAATATAATAAAGGACTCTGGTATTAGAAAAATAGTAATTTTCGTTATTTTCGAATTACTATGAACGCTGATTTTGTGCGCGATCATATTTGTAGTCGGGCAAGTTTAGTCCGTAAAGCTATTACTGAACAAATGAATAAAAAATTTTTTTGTATAAAAATGGACACTGCAACTAGACTTGACCATACTATACTTGGCATAAATGTACAGTTTATTCATGAAGGTAGGTACCCACAAATTATAAATAAAAAATATGAGATTATTAATTACTAGCTAAATAACTTGCCTTCATGTGGACCAGTCTTAGTCAGGGCATTTTTAATAGATTTTTATCTCACCATACAATCGACATTGTTATTATTAAATAATTACACAGTATGCATTAGTAAGGCACACTAAAATATTATTTTTATATAAATTGTATACATTTTCCTATACTTGAGGTACAGCTTTCTGTAATTCTGTAGAATGTCTAGTTATTCTATAAATTACGTATAGTAGGGGAGACCGGGTACAATTGTAAATTTTTCATGAAATTATTTATTTCGGCCAAAATTCAAACTTTTTTGGACATTTTATACTTTTAATTAGTAAAATATGTTGCTGCCTTTAAAAATATGTGTGTATTGAACATTTATTTCCACAGGTTGTTGAATAATTATTAACACAAAAAAAAAAAATGTTACAACTGTACCCCATACAGGGACAAATGTAACATAAATATATATATATATATGTATATATATACTATTTTTTATTGTTATAAAACTTATATAGTTACTATAGTTACTTTTAAATTAAGTTAAATATAACTTAGTTAACATAATAGTCTAGGAACATCATTTTTGACTTGTTAAAACACTTATAACATAACTTTTGACTTTTAAATTAAAAAAAAAAAACATAACATAATATTATTAAATTAAGTAATAATTAAATAATATAACTTTGGTTACTTAATGTTTTAGTAGCACAATTGTTGACTTTTTTTATAACTCTTATAACATAACTAGATACATAATAAAAATAACTTTGACTTTTAAATTTAAAAAAAACCAAATGAAATTTTAATAAAATATAAAATGTAACAATTCTATCCAGTTAAGCTGTTACATTTGTACCCTTTTTATTTAATTCTCGTTTACTCTTTATTTTTATGAAAAATTATTATTAAGAACCTTGCTACAACAGAAATGTATCAAACTGCATCTACCAACTTAAAATGTGTGCTTTTAAAAACATTAGAAATGTATAGCTTAAATCCGAAATTTATTTATTGTATTACAACTGACAATGGAGCGAATATGTTGAAAACTGTTTCATTAATTCGCGAAATGAATAGAGACTACGACAATAATGAAGAAATTTCTGAAAATTAACATAATTTTGAAGGTGACCTAGTTCATATAGATGAAGAGAACAGTAGCAATATTTCTGAATGTTCTGATGAAATTAATAATATAATAGATGACCAAGAAAATGAAAATAACCATGATACGTTGCCTTCAATTTTTAACGATTTGGGTGCAACAGTCAATACATCGGAAGTATTGAGGTGTATGCGATGTGCTGCTCATTATATTACAATTATCAAAACAAGATATATTTAAAATAGAAAATATAAAATCCACTATAAATAAATCACGGGAATTGGTGAAGTTATTGAGATTACCGACAAATTTGGAAGCTCTTAAAAATATGGATTTAAAAGGGCCTGTAATCGAATGTGTAACACGATGGGGATCAACATATGATATGTTAGAAAGTCTATTAAGATGTCAACATTTTTGTCAGGTGTTTGGTAGACATCAAACAAGATTAAACGTAGACAGTGATTTTTGGACATCTACAAATGACCTAAAAAATGCTCTTGGACCAGCTAAAATAACTAGTTGTATTTTACAAGCCCAGAAATTATACCCAGGAGATTGTTTACTTCATTGGAAGAAATGCATTATAAACACAAGAAATATAAGTAAATATTAATTATTTAATTCAATTATTTGTACAAAATTTAAGTAGTTGTTATTTTATTTTATAAATTAATAGTATTTTATATTTTTTAGATTCATTTATTTCAAATAGTATCGTTGAAGCTATACAAAGACGAGAAACTACTTTATTTAACTGTGATAGTTTCAAGTTGGCTATTTTTTTGGATGGTCATGTCAATGTTTTATTAGATGAAATTACACTAAGAGAAGCTAAAAGTCATTTGATTCTCTTGTCTTCAGAATTACACAACATTGATCCTGTCATTAGAGAAGAGCCATCTGTTTCAAATAATAATATTGAATACAATGAAGTAGATGACTTAGAGATTGAACTTCGTACGGCAGCAGCTAACCGGAGTAGTGGTTTCGTTAATAGTCAAGACCAAGTAATGTTGGACATTCAAAGGGAAATTGTAAGTTTTATGCAATTTCCTAGAGAAGATAAAAGCAAAAACATTATGGATATTTGAACAAAACTTAAAAAAATGTATCCATTGATGTATGATTGCGCTTTGGTTGCTTTAGCATTACTAACTATTCAGATTAGTAACTAAAACAATGGCCAATTATTTATAAAACAAAAACTTTGAGTTACGATAATCTGCCCTACACAATTTTATAATCTTTGATTTTAAATCATACTCGTATTTTAGTTCAAATAAATATAAATATTTGAAATGTTATATAATGTTCATTATAATATAATACCTAAACCTATTTTTTTTTGTTAAATAGGTCACAGTGGAACGTCTTTTTTCCAGTTTAAAATGTATATTAAATGATCAAAGAAATAGGATGAACCCAAGTTTACTGGAAGATATAATGGTTATACGATCAAACTATTTATTTGAAAAAAGCTAATCTATAGTATTCTTATGTATTTAGAGTATTTATTGATTATTATTTATTTATAGTATTTATTGATTGTTATTTATTTATACGAGTAGTATTTATTGGTTATTATTAATTTATGTATTATAATACTGTATTATTACTCATAACTAGGTTTAGGGACTTATAGCTCTAAAAGGTACACAAATATGCTTCTAAAAACATTAAAATATACATAATAATATGCAGTTATATGCATTAAAAAAAAAAAAAAAAAGACCACATACTACACAAAATAAAACGTTGATCGGATGTAAATGTATTTTTAAACTAGAAAACAAAATTTTGTAGTCGTCTACTTGTAGACTGTTGTACTTTCGACATTACACAATATTACAAAATATACGCATACAACGGTTTTACGTATGATTCGACGTTGTGTAGTTACGAGACGTAAAAACAACGACTGATAATAATCGACTGAACTGAACACTAAACAAATAATATATTATTCTATATCGACATCCGGTTGATATCCAGCGGGTTATACGGTCGATACAGGTTTATAGTATTATTGACAAAATTTGCACAAAAGTTATAACAAAATATGAGAGGTAATTTGCAGATAGCATATTACTGAGAGTATTAAATCCTTTTAGTACATTTTTTTTTCGATCAGTTGAAATATATATATATATTATATGTATCAATAGTTTTTAATTTTAATAATAATAATAATAATAATAAAATTTGAAAAATTTGTCAAAATATCATCTTAAACTGTCAAAAATAAATTATCGGTTGTTGGATTTATTTTGGCTAAAGCTTCTTTAGTTTTTTCAAAGTCACATTATGCTGTTGGGGTGTATTTGTAATCCTTATCTTAGTTATTAGTAAAGATAGGACTAGATGTAATTCAAGTTTTAGATTTTAATATTAAAGTACTTATTATTCTTAAATAATTTGAAATTTAAAAAAAGTCAAAAAATAATTTTGATTCATAAAGTTATTTTAATTGTTCAATAAACGGTTTAATTTGTGTTGTTCTATGTATTAAAAGTTTGAAGAACGAGTAAGCTTATTCCGTTCTTCGTGTAATTGTTCAAAGAACTTAATAAGTCATAACGTTCTTCGTGTAATTGTTCAAATAACCTAATAAGTTATAACGTTCTTCGTGTAATTGTTCAAAGAACTTAATAAGTTATAACGTTTTTCTAGTAATTGTTCAAAGAATTTAATAGGTTATGACGCTCTTCATGTCAATTTTTTAAAGAACTTTTAGGATTATAACGTTTTTCGTGAAAAATATCAGTAAACTTCATAATTTATATTGTTATTTCATATGAAGGACCAATAAACTAAATTAAATAATTGGTTTTGTTCCATTATATTTTGGTTTATGAACAACAATAATGTTCATTAACCGTTTTTATACGTTCCGTTCAGAAACCCTGGTTACAACCTTTTAACTACCCATCTGGCTTCGCTGCTGTGTGTTTATATGTGTTAAAAATAATTGATTTGAGATTTCTTTAATTAAATCTAATAATAGACTTAAGATTATATAAGATTAATTTTCCGTCAATACTCGACGGTACATGATATATATATATATATATATATTATATATGCTGTTACTTTATATAATGAACAAAAAATCAATCTCAAGTTATTAATACGGTTAATGTGAATAATATAAACACTATAAAAATAGGAAAAGCTTAAAAAGTTACACGAGTTTAATGAACTTCTAGTGACGTAGTATATTGCATCTGTTAATATCAAAATGCATAGTAATAGAAATTTTCAACTGTTAAATATTTAAATCCTAGGTAAATAAATAAGCCTTTTTACGTAAAATATACGTATGATACACTTACCAATACATTCAGTTCAAGCATCATAATATACGTATATTAATAAAGAAATAATTTAATTTTGATATTAAAATTAAACTCCTATGCTGAACTCATCCAATTTAATTTTATCTCGTATAATCTGAGTATTTAATACTCTTACTATCTAAATATATTAATTTATATTTATAAACGAAATAATTTTTTCTTTTTATTTTTATTTTTTATTACGATTATAAGGCTTCAATTATATCGACTATTAGTCTGCAGAGAACATATAATATTAATACAATATTGTAGAACAAAGACATAAAAACATATTTTATTTATAGTATTATTATAGATTTGTATCTGAATCAATTAGTTTTTAAAAATTAAAAATCTTGGTGGTATTACGGTGATCAAGGGCTCCTTTTATTGATAACAGATTGTAGAGGTGATGGTGAGATGTTGCAGGTTTGAGATAGTTGACAAATTTATGTTTAATTGTAAGAGGTGTTTTGCATATGTCGCACGTTGGATTGGGTTCTTTAGCGATCAAGTAGTAGTGCTTAAGATGGGTGTGACCTATTCTAGCTCTATTGATTATTATTTGTTCTATCTTAGATTAGTTGTTAGGATAAGCCCATTTTGATATTGTTTTTTATTTCTTGACGTTGCTCAGTTTGTTGTTTGGAATTGAATCTCAGTAATAAAAATAATTTTACCGTTATAATTTATATTTAATAAAAGCTGGAAACAAAATGCAGCTCATTTCAACTTTATTATTACCTACTATTGTTTAAAGCTTGACATCCACTCAACTTGACACGTACATTTACTATATTTTGTCAAAAAATATTCCAACATTTAGAAGTCTATATGTCTCGAGATTTTATGTATATTGTGTAATGACCCTTAGTAATTTGAAAAGTTCTCTTGAACCAAAGTTATAGGGTATTATTCTAATTATATATAAACATAGTTGAGATTTTTCACAAAGGTACAAGAAAGAATAACAAAACATAATGTTAACAAAATTATCAAAGATCCTTACATCAGTCAATTATACCAAGGATGGACAATTCAAAGTTTCTAGAAGGCTAATTTATAGAACTTTAAAATTTTTCGGGCCATAGTGGAGAAAGCGAAAAATAAGTTTTAAAAAGTCATTAAATTGACAATTAGAATTTATTTTGCATAATTTTATTTTACGATTAAACCAATAAAATAAAATAAGTACCTAATACCTATAGCTATGTTAGTTATATATATATTATATTTAGATATTAATTAATTAATTTATAACTCAATACTTGATAAGAATATAATATCTACATTTTATGATAAACGTAATAAAATTAAATACCGATTAATGCAAAAATGATATTAAATAATTTGAAAGTTTTGCACGGAATAAATAAAAAAAAGTACGTAGGCTCTGTTGGGCCTGTATGCCACTAGTTATTAATCCCTGAACTATAGAATTGAACTGTAATATAAATTTTCTAAATCTCAGTAGGTATGTATTTTTAAACGCGTCTTTTTTTACTATTTTTGTGTTTGACTTTTCTAAGTATAGCACAATAGTTATCAAGTCTTTTTATGTTTTGACATTGATCTCAATAAATATTTGGACAAATCAATGACAATCAGTCATGTAAATTAAAAAAGCTCACATTGTTAAAACTGGAAGCCAGATTGAAGTCTAGAATTATGTATATGCATAATTATATTTGTATTATTACTTGAAAGAGCGTTGATGAAGGAAAAGTTTGTATCAAAAGTGGAAAACAAAACCTTTAACTGAGTTCTTTGAGGAGAAAGAGATGAACAATTTAGGAGGAAATGTTGGAATTTGCAGTAATTCACACCGTGATTAGATAGGGGGTAATATGAGTTACTGTTGAATCCCACTTTAAATAAGTGGTATGGTAGTAAGCTGTGATCAGTGCATAATTTTGGTATATGACAACGTGACTGATTTTCAGGTAATATTTTTTTTTAAATATGTATAACCGAAAAATACAATATAATTTTATACCCAATGTTAAAGAACGGATATAATAAATCTTATTGAATTTGAGATTTTTTTCTTGATTTATTTTGCATATAATATATAATATATAGTCGAAATATTTTGAGTGTAATGATTGGACTTTATATTTTATAACTTTTTTTTTTTTTAAAGAATTATAAATTTCGATATCTTTTTGTTAGAAAAGTTTGAAAGTTTTTACATTTTTATAATAATCTATTCCGCTAAATATATTTCGTGTACTTAAATAATTATATATTCTATCTAATATTTAAAGTATTATTAGTTCTGAATAAAATATAATTTTTAAACTTATACGAGTAATTTTTATGTTTTTACAGGAAATGAGTTGTACTCTTTCTTTTTTAAAATTTCTATCCCGTTTCTTGAAATTTTGTCGTCATCCATTATTTTGCAAACACACAAATAATTGATCCTACAAAAACACAAAAATAATGGTATTAACAATAATTTAGTGCTCTTGAACCATAATTGTAGGTTTATTTTTTTACACCGAAAGTATAATCCAATACTTACGATTTATCCAATACTTATGATTTCTGAACAAAATAAAACGTATTGTAGTTAAAATACAAAATAATGGTCTATCTTAATTCTAGATTGATTTAAAGTTGTTAGTTTAATGCGAAGTTTGAAGAATACAGCAATTATAAGTAGTTGGATTATATCTCACTATGCTTATAAGACTATAATAATAGCCTCAAATCGTATTAATAATTAGATATGTTCAATACAATTTACTCGTATGATATTGTATACTTATAATAAGTTATATACATGATACTATCGATGATATAAGAAGGATAGTACGATTCGAAATCCTATCCAGGGAATTCAGAGAAATAATTTGAAGCGTAGATTCATTAATCAATATTTTAAGGGGTTTGTAGATTCCTAAGGTAAATTGTTAATTTTGAACGGTTGCTGTGAATGCGTTGAAATATGGATTTAAATATTAAACCGTTGATTCGACGGAAAACTGCAAACAATGCGAAAATTATGATGAAATCGCTGTTTGTCTTATGAAATGGACAAAATCATTGGCAACTTTGACAAAACAAATACAGTTAATGAGTTTACATTTGTATTTGTTGCGGGGTTTACTAGTTGGGTCTCAAAGACCTTTATTTAATTTAGTTAGGTCCAGGGGCGTAATTTG